ATTTTTTAAAATCCAAAAGAAAAAACTATAGAGAACAGATGTAACAAATAGGAAGATGATAGGTTAAAATTCAACCATATTGATAATTACATTAAACATAAATGGTCTAAACACTATAATTAAATGGAAGAGATATATCAAACTGGACTAGAAAAAGCACCAATACTATACTTTTTTTTTGCATTTACCAGAAGAAGAATCAAGGCCACAGGCATTAAGGTGTGGTAAGGTTTTGCTGAAGATTTCACAGGAAGCCAGAGCAAGAAGCCAAAGACTGCAGCTTTATCAGTGTCCCACTGCAGACACACAGCTCCTTTCTTCGTGGCTTCCCTGGTGGGGTGTGGGGACCATCTCGTGCCTCACGCGGAGGCCAGCCTCACCCCAGGCTCATCCCCACTCCAGGATCTTCCCCTCCTACCTGCATCAGCCCCTTTCCTTCCTCACACAGGACGGCCTGGCCCTATCAGCCCAGGGGCTCCCAGTCCTACTGCAGCTCTCTCGGCCAAGAAAGGGCTCGTCAGAAACCAGAGACCTTAGAAGGCAGAGGGCAGTATAAATGATAACCAAAGGTTTTTTCTGTCACCTTTACAAATTGCTGGTCCTGACTTCTCATGGCCACCTTTCATCACACACAGAAGTGTCACGCATAATACTTCATGTCAGTATCACACAAACTGATCTGTCTTCCCTGTGAGTCTCTTCTCTAAGCAGGTCAGCTGCAGAGGTGGGGCACTGCAGACAGACTCTCTTTATGGGTCCCAGCAGGCAGCCAGGACCCCTGTCACACTACCACGTTCCAATAGCTGTGCCTATGCCGGGGTCAGGCCAGTCTGGGGGAAGCCGGCCATGGGCTGCGGCTGGCGTGCAGGTGCTGCAGATCTGTGTGGAAAAGCTGACCCCCTGGCTAAGACTCACCCTGTCAGGGAAGGTGGGACTGCTTCTGCTTTGGGAAACACGGCGTGCAGAACCTGCTGGTGGTCACCACCGTGAGCCCGCCATGTGGGTGTGGCACAGGAGGACTCACTGCTCAGGGCTCAGCCATTTCGCTGAACGCATCCTCTGGCCTCAGCAGGGGTGGAAAAGAGAGTCCTTCACTGGGGCACCACCACCACTGCAGTCCCAGGCTGTCGTCTGAGGCCTATTCTAAGCCCACCACCAGAATGTTGGCATGAGGATGGATGTGGCCCCTGCCTTCATGGGGTGCACACCCCAAGCAAGAAAACAAAGGAACAACCCAGGCGAGGTCAGAACTCACAAGCTGCAGTGAGCACAGGGGGCGGGGCCGGGGAGTGTTGGGGGCGGGGAAGTGTGGGGGGATTCTGGCGAGGAGAGACAGGATCCCACTGGCCTTTTGTATGGCTCCCTTGGCCCCTCTGCACAGAGGAGGGCAGGCTGGAGGGAAAGGCCAGGAGCTGGAGGTCAGCATGGGGGTGCCGCAGGTGTCCTGGCAAGTGGGGACGGAGCATGCATTGGGAAGTGACAGCTGGGAAGTGGTCCCAGTAGAGATGCAGGCGGAGCTGCTGCTAACATGGAGTGGAGGGAGAGGAAGCAGGACTTCTGTTTGGGTCCCATGGTTTGGGGTGGCATGGTAAGGAGGCAGCTGGACCCAGGAGTCTGAAGGCCCCTGAATCTGCATTCTGAGCCTTGGCTTCCTCATCTGCACAGGGCACGCCTGTCCTGCTCCATCCTCTCAGGGCTGCCTGTGAGGTCCAGGGAGATCACAGCTGTCCTGGCCTTGGGGCCCTGACCTGTAGCCGTCAGGCTCTCTCAGTCCAGCATCCTCCTTGACTCCAGCCCCATTCCACTTCCTGGGAACCCCCTTCCTTCTGCTTCTTCCACCCCCAGGCAGCAGCAAGAAGAGGGTGCTGAGGAGTGGCAGGGCCACCTTGGCTGAGCCCACAGTAGGCAGTGGGCCAGCCCTGGAACCTCAGTGGACAGGGTGGCCAAGGGGCAGCCCAGGACCCTCCTCCCAGCCAAGGGGCTCCTGCATTTGCTGGGGAGTTTCATGAGTTCAGAAAAGAGCAGAGAGGACAGTGATTTCTACCCACGTGTCTGCTCCCAGATCCACCCATACACAGGCCTGGGTCCCACTGCGGCAGTCCCTGTGGGTCAGGGCAGGTTTCCAGATGCCTTGGAGTTGGTGACCACACAACCATGACAGTGATGGGGTGTGTCACAGGCAACTGACCGAGAAGCTTCACCACAGATGGGGAGACAGAGGCTCCTGGAGGAAATGACCTGGCAAAGGTCACAGGCTGTGTGTGAACGCTGACACCAGAGCAGCTGCCCTGGGCTCTGTGTTCTGGGAGGGGTAGGGCTGGGGCTCTGCCCAGATGGGAATGTCCAGGCAGAGCCAGAGTGAGCAGATTTGGGTGTTGGCACCAAGCCTCGGGGCGCAGAGTGGGTTGTTGGCACCAAGCCTCGGGGCGCAGAGTGGGGTGTTGGCACCAAGCCTCGGGGCGCAGAGTCGGGTGTTGGCCAGCACCAGCCAGGGTCAGGCTGACTGTCTGCATTCCTCTCTCTTGCCTTTGGGCTCTGCAGGGCACCGCCCACTCTCAACCCTCAAATCCTCCCTACCTCTGCTCAGGGCTCTGTCAAGGGTTCTGATGCCAAGGAAACGGAGCTTTTCCCGTGGCCTCAAGACCATGCCGCAGTTAGGGGCTGTGCCAGGGCCCAGGGCTTCCGAGTAGTAGGCAGGGAACAGAAATTCCCTCTGATTTCCCGAGCCTGCCCCAGGAAGCCGCTCTACCTGCACAGGCCCCATAGACCACTGCAAGCTCCGTCTTACTCAGACACGGGCAGTTCCTGCTCGGCAGGCTAGCCAGCGCTCCACCCCTCAGCAGCGTTACCTCTGTGTGCACAACCTTAGCAATAAAATGCACTTTCGACACTTTCAGAGCCTTACAGCTTACCACAAACACACGGCTACTACGACACGAAAAAGCAGCAAAACGACAGGTCCCTTCTGGAAGGGGCCACTGCCCGTGTGGCAGAGCTGCCTTGCCAGGGCCAGAACCCACGTGCTGTTTCTGATGAAGACTGGAGAAGCACCAGGCCTTGCGAGAGCACTTCTAATTTCTCCTCTGACTTGTGGGCAGTGTCAGAGGGAGCCACGATCGTTCATTCAGACAATAAGCCTACTCTTGGCCAAGCAATGGGCCGGAGGCTGGGGAGAGCAGAGGTCCCTGCAGCGGGATGGGGCTGGGAGGTCCTGGCTGGGCCTGACATGTGAGTCTGGGTCCAGGGCCTGCGGGCACCATGCCCCTGCTGACTGGAGCTCGGCAGGAGCCAGAGCCAGGGGCCTCAGAAGAGGGTCTGCTCGGCCCAGGTGGGCATGGGAGGCCCCAGGGAGGTCCACCTCCTTCAGAACAAATACCTCCCTTCTTTCCATCTGGCTTCAGCTCTAACCTGCTGCCAAGCACCCTTCCTCTCTCCAGCCTGACCACAGAGCCCTCAGTTGCTCCGGGCAAGGTGTCCTGGGCACTGCACCTCAATCGTTCCATTTTCCTTCCTGTTAAGCAAACAGAAAGGCGAAGTGCACTGCAGGCACCGCGGCCGTGCGGCGAATGTTTTTCAAACAATATCTGTTTCCGGAGAAAGCTCTGATGGAGACACACGCTTTGTTTTGTTAGCAGCCGGAAGGTTCATTTCTGACAAAACCCTTGTTTTCCTAGCAGATCTTCCCACGTTAGAGCGCTTTCCCCCTGTGGTTCTGGCAAGGGTAGATGTTTTTGGTGAGGGTGCTCCGTGGGTTAACCATTTTAATAACATTTTCATCTGCGACTCCCAGTGGGAAAGTTGAGCCTGGCCCAAATGCCTAGGGAGGCTTTTGAGCTCTGTTAGGATGGCGCCAACGTGAGTGCCCCATTCCCAAAGCTCCGGCCAACCCCAAGCACCACTGTGCCCACCCACCTCATACTTCTGGGAGTCAGTCCCGCTCCTCTGCCCAAGTCCTGGGCCAGAGGGACTTTGGGGGGGAGCAGTGACATCATGGCTGCTCCTCCCACCGCATCAGGTTGCCCGGAGCGGCCACCAAGTGGGGAAGTCTTCCTGAGCAGGTGGGGAAACCGAGTGGGTGCTGTGGGTGGTGTTGGTGGCTGTGGGGTGGGAGGCGCATTGGAGGGTGCGGGGTGGAGGAGGCCTGGAGGATGGAGGTGGGTAGGGGCGATGACAGCCATGCTCGGGATGCAGATAGTGACGACGGGAAGCTGGGGACCGTGGGGATGGCAGCGTTGCTGGTGGTGGGCTGCAGGAGGTGGTGTTGCTGTGGAGCTGGCAGTGCAGGTGGGGTTACTCTGCAGCACGGATGGCAGAGGCCATGTGGCTGGCGGTGGGCTGAGGCTGGGGGTGGGTGAGGGTGAGGGAGGGCTGATGGCGGAGGTGGCAGCGGTGACGGGGCTGGAGGGGACTCTACTTGAGGCCGGCCCAGCAGTTTTCTAGATATGATCTGGGGCGCTTCAGGGAACCGCCAGGTGCCAGCGCACTCCCGGCGAGGGCTCCGTGCAGTCACCAGGTGCGGCCACAAAGGCCTGGCCCAGGGTCACACTCGGAAGCGCACTCGGGCCCCGTCCTTCAGCTGAGCCGAGCCGGTGCTCCCCAGTCCCTGGCCGCAGGAGTCCCCCCGGGAGTCCCGCTCGGAGGATCTGAGCCTGAGCAGCCCGCCCCGGACTGCGGGGAGGGGGGAGCGAGGGACAAGCCTGACCCCGGGGTCCTTCGCAGGCCCGGCGCCCCACGTGGGAAACTGAGGCCCGGGAGGCCCGTGCCCGCGGAAGACCGGGGCGCTGGCGGCCCCTGCTCTGCCCTGGGGTCCGGCGCCGGGACGGGCGCTCGGGGGTCTGGGCGGCCCCGGGGCGCCGCGCTCCGCTCGCCCCCGCCCCGCCCGCGCCTCCCCGCGGGCCGCTGTCCTCATTCCACCTCGGCGCCCGGTGCCAAGCGGCTGGCGGCGGAGTCCGGGCCCGGCGGGCAGCGCCCTCCCCCGGCCCCGAGCCCGGGATACTCACGAAGAGCCCGGAGTGCCGCGCGCCGAAGAACGGGAAGGGCCCCGAGAGCGGCCGCAGCCCCGAGCCGCCGTCGTCCTGCTTGGGGGTGACGGCGTCGCCGCGCTCCGCGCCGAACGGGTAGAAGTCGGCGAGCGCCACCGCGCCGCGCACCCCGCGCGCCCCGAGCCCCAGGGCCGCGGCCGCCAGCAGCGCCCAGACGACGCCGAGCCGCATCGCGGGGTGAGCGCGGGACGGGGCGGGGAGGGCGGGGAGGGGGCGCCGGGGCCGAGGCTGCGCGCGGGGTGCGGGGCGCGCGGGGGGCGCGGGGGGCGCGGGGCGGGGGCCGGGTGGCCGCGCCGTCGGGGGCTCCGCGTTCTGCGCCCGCTCGGCCGGGCCGCGCTCTCGCTGCCGCTCCGCGGAGGAAGGCGCCGGCGGGAGCGCGTTCGGGGCCGGCCCCGCCCCTGGGGCCGCGATTTAAATATCCAGCCCGGCGGTCACTCGTCCGGGGCGGGGCCGCGCGCAACGGGCGGCTCTTAAAGCGCCAGGCCCCGTGGGAGAGCGCGCCGCGCGGGGAGCCCCCTCCGCGCTCCGCCCCGTCCCCAGCCCGGAGGGGGCGCCGGGGACCTGAGGGCCGTCCCGGGACAGATGCGTGTCCCCTGTGTCCCCAAGGCCCGAGGGGCTGGGCCTGCCCCGAAGGCGTGACTTCGCGGGGTGGGGGGCGCCGTGGCCGGACAGCGCCTGGATGAACTTTCTCAGAGTGGCCACAGGCCTGTGCCATGCTGCCCCCTTCCCAGCCCTGAGCCTGGGGTCGCCAGGCTTCCGGCCACAGGGGCAGGCTGCCAGGGACCCCACTCCCTGCCTGGGTTTGTGCCAGGAAGAACCCGGCCGGATTCTTGGAGGCAGGGAACTAAGTGTTTGCATCTCCGTGGCCACATCAGGAGAGATTCCTGGGAGGCTGGGGACCTCGGGTCGACCCCTGGCTAAAGGGGACCCTCCGTGGGGAAGACTGGTCCACTCAGGCCCTGGGGGCAGGTGGGCCCATGACACCGGCCTTGGCAGGCAGGGACAGCACCCCGAGTCCCAGTATTTGAATTAAGGGTCCTGACCCTGTGGCCTGCCCAGCCCTCCCCATGGCCTCTCAGGCCGCTGGCCGGGGCATCGCTCTGTGTCCACCTGTCTTTCCTCAGGGGCGCCCAGTCGAGACCACCTCTGTGTCCCCAGGCCCACAGCAGGGTCTGGTTCCTGCAGCCCACCCAGCCCACTGTGCCGTCTTAGATCCTGGTGTTGGGTGATGCTGGCTGCGCGCCACACTGGGGCCTCCAAAGGCAAGAGTGCACCCCTCGAAGACAAGCAGAAAAGGCCGGGTTGCTGGTAACGGCCGCTACCGCTGAGGTTCTGGGTGGTTCCATGTCTGTCTTCGCGTTTGTATTTTCTGAAATGTCTTAAGCGAGCACGTGTTGTTTTGCGGGGAGGCCCAGATGCAGTCAGTTATTTTTAAGAAGCATAGGAGAGTTCTCTGCCTGTGATGGGCGTTGCTGGTTCTCACAGACCCTGCACTTGGTGTTTTCACTCAGAGGTTCATGACCCTTTAGACTTGGTGGCAGGGCCAGGTGCGGAACTTTTAGGGAGGGCTGACCCTGCGCTGGCACGCCCCTGAGAACTTGTGCCTGGCGCCGTTCCCACCCTGCATAGGGTGGCGGCTCTACTTGCAGAGGTGAACTGAGCCGGGGAGGGGAAGGGCTCTGTCCTGCAGTTAGCCCTTGGGTCATGGTCCCAGCTCTCAGAGTTCCAGGACAGCAGCACAGCCATGGTTCCAGCGTCAGGACGGTCAAGGCCTCCTGTCTCTGGAGGGAGGAACAGAGAGGGCGTGGAATTGTAGAATCCTGACTTGAGACTGGCTCTCGGAGAGTGAGAACCTGGGAGGAGAGATGTGTCTCCACACACAGATGCACCCTCATTCACACGCACGGAGGCGGCGTGTACACATGGGGCCTCAGGAACATGCGTTAACCCCTTCCTCAGCCCAGCCCTGGCCTCCTGGGCTGGGAGGGCTGCTCCCGCCTCCTGCTGGCGTGGCACAGGCCATGGGGTCAGGACAAGGCCCCATGCAGCAGCCTCAGGAACAGAGCGGCCAGGCGTCACCGAGGCGGGAAGCAGAAGGAACGCTTTTTTATCTGCCTTTTCTCTACAAAAACCTGGCAGCCTCTATTCGGTGCCTTTGGGGCCTGGCTGGAAAGCCCTCCTGTGGGTTTGCGAAGGTGGGAGGTGGCGGGATCTCTCCGCAGAAGAGGCATCGCCATGGCGTGTGAGGCTTTGCCCCCACTGGTGCTGGCCCTCCGCCTGCCTTGTCCCTGCTCCCCATCCACCTCCCACCGCATGCTCCTGCTCTGCCCTCCCAGCCAGCTGCCTAGGCTGCAGGCGCCCTCCTCTTGAGCACACAAGACAGGGGCCGGGGGAACAACCCACTTCTGCACTTGGTTTGGGTCAACTTGGAGGCAGGGCTGCCCAGGACACCTCAGGGCACACTGTGGCACTCAGTTGCTGCATCGAGGGGAGACCCGTTTCTCCAGGTGGGTGGGCGGCTGGGCCTGACGGGGGTCCGCTGAGCAGCGTTTGGAAATGCTCAGGCCTGTCCTCGTCCCAGAGGGTCGGAGCTTGTGGCCTGGAGAGCGGCTGGCAGTGGGCCAGACCCTGTGCATGGCCACACTCCCTCGGGCACGTAGCCTGCTGACCAGCCTCTGCCTGTGCCCGCGCAGATGTTCAGCCGGGCCTGGGGAGCTGGGGGTTAACACAGGCCCCGCTGCTGCTGGGCATTCATTTCATTAAAAAAACAGCACTACTCTGCAGGCAAAAAAGAAAAAAATGTTTTTTTCAGGTGCTAAAAATATTATCAGGAAATACTTTTCAGCAATGTGCTGTTTTAGGTTCCCCTCTGGACTCAAGGGCGCCTTTGTCTCTGTCACAGAAAATCCACATTTATCAAAACCAAAATTGTTTTATCAAGCAGGCTCATGTTCTGTGGCCAGGAAACCCGAGCCTCCCCAACCGGCCTGTGACATTTTAATTTAGGGCCCGAGCGTGTGTGCAATTTAGATGGGGTGCCCCGGGAGCTGCCCTCGGGGTGGCCCAGGACTCGGGGCTCCACGCAGGCCAAGGAGGGGTGGTGCCCTCTCCAGCCTGCACCTGGTCGGCTGGGCCTGGTTGTCGGGTCTCCACAGGGTTAGGACGGAAGATCCTGGGGCTTGGGCTGCCAGGGGCAGGGGCTGGCTGGCTGTAGCCCACCCCTAACTTTCTCTCCTTCTCTCCCAAAAGTGGCAGGTGGAACGCAGGTCCCCTGCCCCAGAAGCCCAGACCCCAAATGGACGTCCGCGTGCCCTGGAATGAGGCCAGGAGCTCACAGGGGCCAAGGGCCGCCCCAGCTGCTCACCCGGGCACTGCCCTGTGTGGCTGGTTGGGTCTGGGTGCAGTTGGCACCCTGAGGAGGGGTCTGTGAAGCGGCCCTGGACCTCCTCTTTTTGTGCACATGGAGCGGCACATGCCTTGACTCCCACGACGGGACCTCTGCGGTTGCTCTTCAGGAAACAGGGGGACCGGGGCTCACACTTCCTTCCCAGGATGCTCACTGCTGTGTGGGCTCAGGCTTCGGCTCTCCCTGTCCTGGGGGCGACGAGACCCCCCTCCCATCGGCAGCGTGGTCCAGAGCGCCCGAGACAAAGCCCCATTCCCTGTGGGCTCTGGGACAGCAGGGACAGCAAGCCATGGAAAGAGGGGTGCTCAGGCCTGGGGTCCTCTGATGCCCGGAGCTTCCGAAGTAACAAAACCATGCCCTGAGCTGCTTTTAATGATTCGGGAAAACTCTCACGGTATTGTGTCAAGCAAAAGTTTTAAAAAATAGTCCTCCAAGGAGCATGCACGCTGTGGCCGCAGCCGTCCTGAGCTCAGGCGTGCAGGGAAAGGAGGCACCGGCGCCGCCGCAGAGGTTCTGCAGGTCTCGAATGACGGGGGTGGTTACATTCTCCTTTCTGTGTGTCCCTGCTAGCATTTTTTTTTTTCCAATTAATTCGAAAAGTATGAATGTTTTGGAAGCGCAGATAAACGATGTCGCTGGTCCAGCTGGTCCACTTCCTGCCCCGGCTTTGGCCAACCGGAGTGCGTGCTTCCCTCACCCTGGGGTGCTCCAGAGGGCTGGGTTCGTCTCCTGGGGCCCTGCACCCACTCTGCCTGGCCTGTTTGTGGGTGCCGCCATCTGTGTTCCATGGCCCCTCCCCCAGTGCCCACCCCCCGGGACCTTCATCTCCCATTTGTCCCCTCCCGGTGTTAGTCTGCAGTGCCGTCCTTGGACGCCTGCAAAGGGTGCTGCCCCCCCCCCGGGCACCTGAGGGCCTGTCAGAGCCTCCTGGCCAGAGGCCGGAGGGGCCCTCCAACACCCCCGCTGCCTCACATTCCTCGGCGAGCCTCAGGGGTGGCAGGAATCTGAAGGGATTTTGTGTTCTGTCTCAGACCGGAGCTGGGCCTCTGCCTGCGTCCCCGCCTTGTGTGGGGGAGGGTCTCCTGGCTTTCAGAAACCTGGGGCACATGTATCCCCTCTGCCCACCGGAGAGGGCAGGCAGAGGAAGAGTCAGACTGTGGAGGCCTCCGAAGCCACAGGCATATGTGTGGCTCCGGCTCCATGACGTGGCTCTGGGGGTCCACCCCACCTCTGAGATCTCACTGACGCCCAGACTCACTATGGGCTCCAGAGGCAGACCTTCCCCTTAGGAGCACGACCTCCCTCGAGCAACCTGGGCCCGCTGGACCAGGCCGCAGCTGCCTGCAGGTGACATGCCTCCACCGTTAGCTGAGTGCTCTGGCCTCAGCCTGGGCGATGCTTCATGTAGGACACACCAGGGCCCTCGGACTGGGGCCACCCCACTTTATGGATGGGAAACAGCTGGTGGGGTCACAGCTGGGCTGGGCTGGAGGCTGGCTGCTGCGGGCCATGCACGGACTTTTCCCCTCGACTCTGGGGCGGGAGTGGGAAGGGGTCCAGCCCCCTTCTCTCTCCAGCCCCCCTCCCTTGGCCTTGCCTCCACGAAGGGGCAGGAGGACCCCAGCATCTGGGACACATCCTCTGGTTCACACAGCTCTGCCTGCCCCTCACTGGGCAGATGGGTCTGGGATGAGGCCAGTGGAGGGGGAGTCTTGGCCTAGGCTGTGGGGTCCCTGGGCCTGACCCCTCCTGTCGCCCTCATGCAGCCTTGCCCCATGGCCCGGCTTCCTCCTCATCAGCAAGCCAGGTGCTCAAAGGGCCGCTGCGAGAACACAGGGCGAGCCCTCCAAGCCCCCGCTCGGCTCTCAGTGACGGTGAGACCTGGACAGGGGCCCACACACCAGTGCTGGACACACTGAAGACAATGACAGTGTATTTCCGCTAGAAACAGCCTCTTTTCTAAAGACATGCCTTC